AAAGAACCATCTGTCTGCAAAACATATTTTACGCCAACTGAGTACTGTACCATAACCGTCTTAGGCTGTAACCGTGTAACACAGACCCAGTGTTTTTCTCGTTTATATTCAATTATCACCCCGTGTGTACACAAAGAACTGGATAGAAACGATCGTGAACCAAAAAGGAGTTGGTCGGGTGAAAATTAGGAAGAGCACACAACACTTGATGATTAACACACTTACAGCTTCGGCACTAGGAAGGGGAGGCGGACTATCATCCAGTTCTTCGTCCTCCTTTGGTGCACCCACACAATCCTCCATTTCGTGGCCAATCTGACCGCACAGTTCGCACGGTCTTGGTTGATTCGGTTTGAACTCTTCCCGAATGATGGTGAAATAGGGCTCGTGTGTGGCCAGTCCAAGCATGATCAGATCAGCGTCCGCGCCACACAAACAATGTCGCGTATTCGCATCATGAGTGGGTGAGCTACGCTGGCGTCGAATAAAGTCCATGATTTTATGCTCTCCTTCGCCGGGCACATTAGCGTCACTGAGAAAAACCTAGATTACCCCAACGAACGAGCGATTGGATGGAGGATAGAGATATTGATTAAGATCATTTGATTGATCGTACTAAAAGGTAATAACGTACACTTTCAATGTGACCCGTGAATTATCTTAGCTTACTACAGATCAAAGTGATTATAGCGTTCGTCTGGAAGCCAATTTATTTGTGAAATATTTAAATGAGATGTAAGGTGTAGCAGCTCAAATAACCAAAAATGATCTACCTTTTTCATTGTTTTCCCAGGTTTTGTGACAATGGAAGCTGTATCAATGCGCTCCTGTAACAAGGTGTAAAACGTACGCCAAACATAGCCATACTAACACCCAGATAATACCCAAAAGAGCTGATCATCTTTTAGCAATTAATACACAAAGTGATTCAGAGCAAAGGGATAAACCGCATAGTCAAAGCACATTGCAAACGGGAAGAGACGGCGGAAAACACTCGGGTAAGAACCAAATTTTTGATCCTACCTTTGGTGAAAGATTGTAACTACTTGGAAATAATGGAGTCCGAAGAGTATTTCAGTGTCCGTTTCAGTATTTACAACCATTACGAAGCACTTTCCTGCGCCGATTCTGGTTGCTCCTTTTCGCCGCTCATTTGGATGAAAGAGCAAATTAGAGAGGAACATAATTCATAAAGACTGAGATTGCAAGAATAAGGAGTAAATGCACAAGGGCCACTGCTCGTGACAGTCACTAACCACCGGTTATCATGGTCCCGGGGTCCCCAGTTAGGGAGCCTAAAGGGATCTATATGACCGAGTGTCCTGGTTAGGGTTTTCATACTTTCTTGCCAAGTCTTGGTTCGACCGCCCTTGGCTTCGTTCCACTCAATACCTGCCTCGGCAAACATCGCTCGCCGTAGGAGACCATCTAGTGACATGCGCAGCACGTGTCCCAACCAGCTTAATCTATGGAGGTCGACCAATTGCTCCAGTGGACGATCACTATTACCTAAAAATCCATGCCTAACTTCAGCATTGACCGTTCGGTTACCCCACCAAACTCGTGCAATGCGTCAGACACAGCGATGTTTGAACACCGACAATCTATTTTTATCGTCCCCGTAATGGCCAAGTTTCTGCACCGTAAAGCAGCATTGGCCGAACTGTTNTTGTGGCATACACTTGACCCTTCACGGACAGTTGGATGTCGTGATGTTTCAAGTTGGCGAATGCCAACCGAGCCTTCTGTATGCGTGCCGACACCGCATGTGACACGTCCGCCAGGTGAGATATAGCTGCCCAGTCAGGGTGAGGGTTGGGGGATGGACCAACCTAATATTGTAGAAACATTTTACACTTTAAAGGTGCAATACGCAAACTGAACATAGATACACCAGCACTCAAACTATCCAGAGGAGTATTTCACGATTTCTCGGTCCTAGTAACAGAAAACTGACAGGGATGGCGACGGAAGGAGGAAAGGATCCGAGGAGGGAAAGCATTAATGCGACTTCAGAGAAATAACCCAAAACAGTAAAGGTAAAAAAGAACCAACTGTCCAACGATGGGAAAGCGACTGCAGACTCATCTTGGAGCGAATCCTCGATCAGTTTCAAGAAGGGGTTTCGCAACGACTACTCAAACCACCACGGGATAAATTTGATTCCAATCGCCCGTCATACTTCGACGTTTGATTCCTTTAAGAAAGACCAACATCCGTGAAGAGCAAACTGGATTTCGGCCTGATCGTAGATGTATGGATTGAATTTTTATGCTGAATTGCATCCCCCCCCCCACCCGTCTCGCAACGATCAAAGTGTTCCTTGACCTGAAAGGAGGCTTCGACTCAGTTGACTGAGAAGCTTTATAAGATTCGATTCTTTAAAAAGAAAAAAGTAACTGTACTCACATAATTCTGGTCGGTGAGGGTCTATAAAGAATTAGGTAGCCCGTTCGTCACCAACAGTGGTGTTCGTCAAGAAAACCCTATTTCGCCAGTCCTGTTCAACTTCGTCGTTGACAAAATGCTGGAGAAGGCACTAAGTGGTTTCCATCATGTTGGTATGCAATGGACAACTGAAAAAAGCTGTGTGGTTCAAAACACGCCGATGTCGTCGTTTGTCTGTTCCAGTGCGTCAAATACACTTGATAGACTAACGAGTGGTGCCAATTCATTCGGTATGTGTTTTGCACTTTCAAAGTGCAAAGTGATGCTGCAGGACTGGGTGTCGCCTATTCACCCTTTGAAGCTAAATGGTTATGAATTAGTTATGGTGGGCTGCTTTTCCTACTACGGTAGTTGCGTGACCAATGACGGTAGCGCAGCAAAGGAGATAACGGCCCGCATTTCCAAGGCTCTCAAGGACTAAGGCACCTTTGGCGTAGATGCGACGGTTCACTGAAGTTGCGAGGTTGTGTACACTGTGCTACCATTCGTCCGGTTCTGCCTTATGGCTGTGACGACTTGAATTTGCGAGTAGAAGATATCCGTCCACTACAGGTTTTCGTTTATCGGTGTTTACGTAGTTTGGCGCACGTGGGATGGATAGAACGCGTAAGTAATCTGAAGATAAGCCGTCGTGTTCGGGAGTTTATTTGAGATCAATTTGCTAGGGCATCTAATTTAGATCAGTAGGCATCGCTGGTTACGACACGTATTGCGTATGCCCAGCTGTCGTCTGCCGCACCGGGCTTTACTCGCTGCAGTCGCTCTGGGTTGGAGGAAACCACGTGGAGGTTAACAGATGACATGGAGACGAGGCACAATAAAGTGCAGAGATAATAAGTAGAGTAGATGTATCATGCCTTTTATGTTGTGGTCCGAAAGACTCTTTAGCTGGTTGGTGGGAGACAATGAAGAATTCGGTAGCCAACCGACAGCAGTTGCGCAGTTGTTGTCATTTCTTATCAGGCCAGAATGTTTAACAAGGTATGTATTTTTTATTTTCATGTTTACATTTTCTTCCTGTTATTGAGCATGTAAAGGTACAATTTTCAGGAAGGAGGAAGCGGTCAATCAAAGGACTGCACAGTTAGACTGTGTACTGTGTTGGCCATAGAAGTTCTTTCTTTCTTTTCCCCGCCTCAAAAGAGGTATAATCCCTATCCACCTTATATATATTACCAATAAATCTGTATGTATTGCGAGAGTGGCAGCGATCAGTAAGATTCACTTTAATGTACTGTCAATTGTAAGTGAAATGAGGAGGGTGAAATAAATATAGACGGTCATTCAGCGAACCGCGACTGCAGTCGACTGGGAAAAATGGTTCCACAACTTCAGATATTACCGAGGTTAGAGTGATGGGACGATAGTAGTTCGAATCCGGGAGATTGGTACGCTTTTGGATTAAGGGAAGAGCACAAAAGACGGTAGAGTAGAAGCTAACTCTGGAGCTGGACGATGAGTGGAATACCGTTCGGGTGGAGTACAACAAAAGTGTATAGAAAAGTTCCGTTCGATCTTCGGTGCCGAACAGAACAAATTTGTTTACACCTAACAAAAAAAGTAAACGGTGGCAATGACCACTATTTCTCGATTGCACATGATTACTCGATTACTCATTCCAACGATTCACAAATGTCTAACTCTTCACCCTATTACGCTCCGAACAATAATCTCATGGATGGAAAATTTGTCTGGTTACAATCACGTGTTGATAATGTTATTCAAGATTTTCACATCGAATCAGAGAAAGAATCAAATTCACCATAATATTTTTCCAACCGGGATCCGAGTTCAGTCTGTCGTAAATGTAGTACTGCAATGCGACCGCCAGTCTGGCCATAAAGGGAGTACCGGGTGTAATACAGTTGGAATCGAAGTGCTCAGATGCATCTTTTCCAGGAGGTAAATGTGCCCCACGAGCCATCAGCTCATGTCGTAAACGCTCGACTGTCAGATGTTTCTCCCTCGATTCTTTCGCTGCCCTAAACCGACGCGAACGTTGCTGGTTCATTTTAGCACGCGGAGCCACTCCATCAATAGCCATATACAACAAGCGTCGGGGTCGGATGATGGCAAATAAGCGGTCAATGTATTCAAAAATAGCAACGAACATTTCAGCTTCGTTTTTTGGAGCAGGTTTATTCTCCGGATGAGTACATGGATGGATAATCCCATTCATGTCAAGGTACAGATTGTCGAACTCCTCGCCATTAGGGTTCGGTTCAGTCGTATCAACCGGTCCCCGTGTTCCGTTGTTGTCCACTAGTGGTCCACGTTTCTCCACACAGTGGGACACGATTGATGGATACTTCATACTGAGCCATCGGAAGAAGGCTGGAACACCCATGGTGTGGATGTCAGATTATCTAAAAAAAACCAGTATGAGGGAAATGGGCGGGCAAGTTAATGAAGATCATTCTGTGACATCTGCTAGGATTACACCATTTAAAAAATCAGCTTTAGCTGTTAAAAACGGGTTTAGGAATCCCTTGTTTTCTGAGGATAACGTTCCAGATACATCGTACTCCAAATCACAGAAATGGAAGACAGGACGACAGTTATTAGGGCGATATTTTTCCAGGGCACGGAGATAGTCGCAAGCCTAAAGAAAGAATAACAGAAACGACCCCAGCGTATTAGAGTACCCACTTCAATGAGACCCCGTTGACTCCCATCTGCAAAAGGGCACTGAACATATCGCGGAGTCACGACGAGAAAAGACTGTTAGAAAGGACCATTTGCGCATACGTGCACGTTTCTACATCAGTTTTCCTGCCACCCCTAAGGCCGATCCGAATAGATACTGCACTCCTGTACAACGCAGATGAACGCCAAACACTGTAGCGCAGCCCATACTTAATTGACCACCGCATCCAAAGCATAAGGGGATGACACTCAGTTCACTTCAGTCTGAACAACCATTAACCATGCACTTTCGTGCGCCGGTTTCGGTTGCCGTCTTTTGGTTTCCCATTTGGATTAACATTAAGAAAAAGACAGAAAGATTGAAAGTAGGATCCAGGAGAAATTTCAAAATTTCATTGCGGTATTTTGGAGAGAAATCGACAAGATGCAAGAACGCCACTGTTTTCGAAACTGAGCCATATCACTCAGTGTCTTTTACCATCGAGTACGATCATCCCGAGGTCCCCATTCAGGGAGCCTAGCCTAACCAGACTCCTGGTAAGGATTTTCATACCCTCATGCCAGGTCTTAGCTTCATCACCCTTGACTTTTTCCACCCACTACCTGCCTTGGCGAATATCGCTCGCCGTGGCAACCTATCTGGTGACATGCGTAACACATGCCCCAAACACCGTAATCTATGGAGGTCAATCAATTGCTTCATTGGGCGACAGCATTTACTTAAAACTCTGCTCCTAACCTCAGCATTTCTCGTTCGGCTGCCCCACCAGATTCGTGCAATGCTGCGTAGACAGCGGTGTTCGAACACCGACAGTCTATCGTTATCCTGTTTTCTTAATGGTCAAGTTTCTGTGCCATATAGCAGTACTGGCTGAACTGCGGCGGCATAAGCTCGACCCTTCACAGATAACCGCATGTCGCGACGGCGCCACAGATGTCTCAAGTTGGTAAATGCCAACCGATTTTTCTGTATGCGATCTGACACCTCATCCGTGATGCGTCTACCGGGTGAGATGTAGCCGCCCAAGTAACAAAACTTATCCACTTGATCTATTACTTCCCCAGCTAGAGGCTGGTTGCTGGACTAACATTTCACACACTGAAAGTGCAAAACGCATACTGAACCTGGTTACACTAGCACTCAAACTATCCAGAAAGGCTTGTAACTTACCTGGATCTTCACTTAGTAGCAGAATGTCGTCTGCATACTCTAGATCAGACAGCGTGTCACCTGGGAGTAAATGGGTACCACTATTCTCGCACAAGGACAGGGCTGTTTCCATAATCAGATCTATAACTAAGTTGAATAGAAAAGGAGAGAGAGGGCAACCCTGACGAACATCACTTTCCGTGGTGAACTAGGGTGAAAAAGTGCCCGTAAACTCAGACAAGACTTCGGTTATTAGTATAAAGGGATTGTAATATTGCAATTAACTACTACTACTACTAATATTGAAAGACGATGGGTGCAAATCAATACCGCGGTGCAAGTTGCTTGAAAAGAGCTAGGGAGGGGAAAATATGTTGAAAAAAAACGAACGGATCACCGAGGACACATTTCATCTATCTGTCAAAGTACTCAGGGCCTGTAAACAGGAACAAAAGAGCAGAGCTAGAGAAAGCCGAAAACGGAAACTGTTGCAGAAACTAGCTATTTCAGTAAAAACTACTCCCTTCTTTTGACGCTTCAAATGGAAGATTCATCTAGACATCTGACACTTGCTCAACAAGAAAATAGAACCATGAACGTAGAGCTTTAAGTACAAGCTCAACAGACCTTCAGACCAAATGCAGTCTTTTCGGGGATGCATGAAAGCAACCGTGACTGGCCGAATATAACTGAAATCACCACCGTCATCGATCAGCTGAAGACCGGCAAGCCAACTCCGGAAGTATCTAAGACCTTTTTGTTGTGACGAATTGACAAGGTGATAGTGCAGTGGTTTACTCACTGCAATTGATGTGCTTTGGACCCCGTGATCCGAGGTTTGAACCCCATAAACGTCAACCAACTTTGGTGGCAGGCAGGTTTACTGTCGTTCGGTTCGATACCATGCTCAGCCTTGTGTGGTTCACCACTCTCAATTACGGGGCTTAAGTTACCGGTTTCCATCACTGAACAACAGGTCTTAGCGACTGTGGTTCACCCCGTCGGGTGTTCAACACACAAATGTGTATAATAAAAAGGTAATACATCGTTTTTTGCTTCATATAACGAAGTAAGACAACTTCGTGATTAGAGCATGTTTGCTACCCGGTTTTGAGAAAATAGAAAAGTCGGTGTGGGGGCTACCGAATTATCAGTCTAAACAATTTTGCCGTAAAGATTTTCAATTGCCGTCCAAGCGCATTTCTGCTGCAAAAGATCGAGGGATGCATTCGAACTAAGGGGAATCCGCTGCAGTAGAAGTTGAGAGGATTAAACTTTCGCAGTGTCGAGTAACAGGATATATACTACTTATTATGAAATATACATAATTTTGTTATTTCCGATTTTTTGCTACCCTGTATTCGTATGTAAAAACTTGAGAATGAATAATCGAAAGGAATTCTACGTTTCAATTGTCTTTTTCAGAATGTCCGTCCTCGTTCAATGGCTTGGTCATATATTCTAGCGACCCAAGTTGGAACCATACAATCCATCTGGATTTTTGTCTTAGTTGATGTTATAATCATGGTGAACAGCACGAAACGTGAAACAGCGCTATTGAGGACGCGGACCTCAAGTTGGCACTATACCGGTGCAATATGGGCGATATATTTTGGGGAAGACAATGTTCAAATCTCAATAAAATGTTATCATAAATTTATCCCTACTTTATGGTGGCGATAGAATTCTTATTAATCCCAACGCGTGGATGGGTTAATCAAGCGAAATATCCAAATAAAACAAAATGATTGGGTTGTACACAGGTAGATGGGTACCTTTGCAAAGCATCATCATCATCGGCGATCGCTGCCAAACTCATCGAACTCAAAGTACGTGAGAAAATACAAGATGGACAGGATTTGAGCCAAATTGGAGGGAGACGAAGGTGTACCTCTATGGCACACATAACCTAACTGTGCACACATACCTTTTCAGATATTCTGACTTGATAAGAAATGACGAGAACGCCACTGTCGGTTAGTTGCCATATCCGTCAGTGTCTGCAGCAACCATTTACAGTCTTTCGGACCCCAACCAGGAAGGCGTGAAACACCTACCTTAACTAATGGCTCTGTGCATTTCCGCATGCCTCGTTTCCACGTCATCTGGTTTCCTCCAACCTGGAGACGCGACTGCGAATGGAGCGCGGTGCGGTAGACGACAGTTATTTAGTGGTAAAATACTTACGGTACTGTTTACCAACGAACTTTGGAGAGTGGCACACAAGTTGACTGATGAAATGTTATGGGCCGAAAGAAAGAACAAAGGGCGACGACTGCGTTATAGAAGACAAAGTTAAACAGAGGTTGGTATTTATGAGCAGTAGCCCACTAACCACCACCCACCCCGTTCGATGCAATGGGAAGCGCGGTCTTGATTATTCTGTGCAATAGTCGATGCAATATGGAATTCTGTATAGTTTGTACAGTCATCGGGGCTTTATGGACCGGTACTGCTAGAATATCCGGTCACTAAGCAGAACGACTTGGCTTCTCAACTATAGCCCCAGGTTCTGATAAGAACCAAGGCAGCTGGTAAGGTGGAATGGAGGCCCATTTGCCTGAACTGATTACTCCTTTCTTTTTTTCACCGGCTGAGACATCAATTCGAGTAGAACCCCTAAACTGGAGGACCAAGATACTAGATTTTGACTGACCTCTACCCCTGATCATCCAGACATGATTAAATCTTGGCCTGACAAAAGCCCTCCTGTGTAACTCGATAGGTCAGAGAAATACGCAAGCCATTAATGTGCAGTCCCGCAAGGGTTGCAAAACAAGAAGAATGTAATCCACGAAACAGTGAGTAGAACGTTGATATTTTGTTGGAAGGACTTCACAAACGAACTAACCAAATTGCTGCACATCTCAGGTAATGGATATCCCAATTGTCTGGCAAATGCATAGAAGTAGTACATACACTGTGAAGTCAGGCAACGATGCTGCTGCTGCCGTTGATGATGGTCTCAGACGACAGCTTAAGTACACACGGAGGCAAAACATTTGCCTTTGCGTTTGGTTTATATTTACCGCCTTCCCATTACTACACTTTTCAAACTAGTGTAAGACGAGGTATGAAGAAGTGAACAGAGCGATTAGGTTGAGTAGGCGTTTCTCGTTCAGCTGGAGGGGTTTCAAACGACTGCAATACCGTGGTCAGAAACACTGAAAGACAAAACAGTAAACCGGCTGTTTTTCTGTCACTTCTTACCAAGTCAGAACGTTTCATAAGGTGTACGCACAGTTAAATGGCGTGTTGTGCTAATCATAAGGGTTCACAGTCTCATTCCAAATTGATGTACCTCAGTACACGACGCATTCTCACTGACATTATATGCATTGCGAGTTTGGCACTAATTAGTGCTGTAGGATGATGATGATGACCATAGTAAAACGAAAAGCTCACATTCGGACTACATCAGGTCTAATAGTGAAATGTTTACGAGGTATGGAGAACCGCAGAAATGAGTGGATTGTGCATTCCCTTGTCATGGACTCCGAAAGGCTCGGTACGGTCGTGGGTGGGTATCTCGGGTTGTGGTTGGTCACCCT